AGTTTTCTGTTTCTTCCACCGAAAATCTAAGTGATTCACCGGCATCACCACATGTCAATCACCATTTGTTCCCACGGGGCTCCCCAGAGAAGCTTAACTAACTTGTGCGCAAGGTCTCAGATCAGGAAGTGTTGTCACCTTTTTTCTCTCCGAGACGCCCCTCATCTGACTGTTGAGTCCACAGGCTATCAGACTCTTTTATTTCTCGCTCCGCATTTGTGCATTAATTCACCCAATATTTGTTGAGTCTTGTAGTGAGTCACTGTCCTGCATCAGCAAGATCAGTCCCGGCTCTCGAGAAATTAATAGTGTATGTGAGAGAAACCTGCTGATTCCATGACGTTGAATCAAGTATTAAAAAATGGGTTTTCTTTAATGCAACCCATATAGTAGCGAATACATGGGCCTCCCGGGCCTGAGTTTGACCCTCTGTAAAAATGATCCTTTGCAAATCTGATCATCTGTAGGTCTATGATTTATGGGAGCTTTCCTTTGGTACTGCTAGGGTTTCAATGTTTGTTTCCCTCCAATATGCATCTTGAAACTTAGTCCCCAATGCAGCCATGTTAAGAAGTGGGAGCTTCAGATAATGCTAAGTGAAGTTAGCCAATCCCCCTCAAAAAAAAAAAAAAAACCAAGTGCTGAATGTTTTCTCTGATATTGGAGGCTGACTCATAGTGGGGTAGGGAGGGGGAGCATGGGAGGAAGAGATGAACTCTAGACAGGGCAGAGGGGTGGGAGGTTAAGGAAGGGGACAGGGGATTCGAAAGGTTGGTGTAGTGTGATGGACATCATTATCCAAAGTACATGTATGAAGACACGAATTGGTGTCAACATACTTTATATACAACCAGAGATATGAAAAATTGTGCTGTCTATGTGTAATAAGAATTGTAATGCATTCTGTTGTCATTTATTTCTTAAAATATCAATAAAAAAGGCTGTATGAAGAAAGCTGAAAAAAAAAGAAGTGGGGGCTTCAGGAAGTGGAATTAGTGTCCTTATAGTGACATGAGGCAGCAAGCGTTCCCTCTTTACCCTCCCATCATGTGAGGATACAGCAACAGTATACCATTCTGGGAGCAAACAGTGACCCCTTGCCTGATGCTGAATTATCCAGCATCTTGATCTTGAACTTCCTAATCTTCAGAACTGCAAGAAACTTCTACTTTTTATAAATTACCCAGCCTAAGATATTCTGTTACAGGAATCCAAACAAACCAAAACAGGTGTCAATTCCTAGAGTTCAGTTTCTGTAGCAGACAAAATTTAAAAAAAAAAAAGAGGCCATAAAGACTTCTCCATAATTTTTCAAAGCCAGAGTAATGGCTCATGACTAAGTAGATCTGGCAATGAATGAGCCAAGTCATATTCTTCCAAATAAGTATGGTTAAAAAAAAAAGTCACAATATAACTAACCTTCCCACAACAAAGATAATAGTCCTCTGTCCAATCCAACCTCCAATTTTCAATCTTTAACATTAATTCCTTCTATACTCCTTTCATTAAAGTGGTATAGAGCACCACAGTTAAATCCATCTACTCTGTTTAATGCCCTCATTCTTTTTTGACCCCCATGAATCAAACAGCTAATCCTTCAAAGTCCCCCTCCCCTCCCTCCCTCCCTTAAAACTCTTCCCTGGTTCCACTGAGACCACACTTGAGTGACTCTCCTATACCTCTGGAAGCTACCACTTTTAAGTCACTTTGGCCAATGCCTCTTAACCCCCGGTCCGGTTCCTGTTCTTGCCCTCTTCTCCTTCTAAGCATTTTCCTTGAGCATCTTCTATCCTATGTCTTAAGTTCCAGACTTATGTTTTATACCTACCTCTCTGATCTGTGCACCAACTCATGTCTCCCCCAATCTCTTATTCCTCCTTCATCCTCTCCATCCTATCATTTAGGATTCGGTCAGTAAAATAAAATCCATACTAGGCATTCAAACCCAGAATAAAGCAGGTAATTGGTTTCTCAGATGATGGAAGATCCCAGAAGTCAAATATGAAATGCTGAGGCAACCCAGAGATTAACCACAGCAGGAAGATGAAACCAACTCTAAGGCAGAGGGTATTATCAAAAATTGCAATCTGAAACTGTCCCATAGGTCCTGCCCTCATGTCAAGGCTGAGTCCATAAAAAAGACTGCAGGTGAAAACTCAGGAATGAGATGTAGACCCTGCCAGACAGGCTACTGGAAACAGAAATATCTGGGAGGAAAAATTCTTTTTAACTTCTGTCCTCCCCAGTTCTCCCATCTTCCAACTTTGCCTCCTTGAACTGGTCAAAGGCAACTGAGAAATGTAGCTACCTCTGGTGCAGAGCAGAATAAAAGTGGGGGCTTCAGAAAGTGGAATTGGTGTCCTTATAGTGGCATGAGGCAGCATGTCATAGCCATCCAGAGCACCCACACAGGAAACTTCACCTCTCAAGATCTACATTCACTCCAGGGATCTGCAGACATGCCCAACTCCTTCCTCTCATTTCTTCTTTCCTTCTCTGTAGAATGTCAACTAGTCCCATAAATTCCTGGTTGACTTCTTCACAGTTCTGCAGCCACCACTGTAGCGCAGACCCCATCTTTCCCTCAGACCTGGTCATCCTGTTTTAAGTCTTTCTCTGGCTCCACATCCTCAGAGGGAAGAGGGAACCTCTGTCCCAGCCATTGGCCTGAAGGTGGTCACATGATCCTATCTGAACCAATCACTGTAGCTGGGCGATTCAGTGCTTCTGATTGGTCAGGCCTCAGTCACATCCCATCCTTGAATGCAGGAAGGGGTAGGTATTCCCCATCTAACCTCAAAGCCAGAGAGTGGATAAGGGGCAATCCCCCAAAGGCAAAGCCGGGTTCTGCCATTTAAAATATAGGAAATGGATGTTGGAGGAAGAAGGGGGAAAGCACACTCTTTTGTTATGGCTCTCTTACAAAAGAAACCAATAAACTCCTTGGCCTATTTCAAGGCCATGTTTTGATGAGAAAAGATGAGAAACAACCTAAGTGCCCATCAGTGGGGAAATCGTTGAAACTAACTGCAGTGATGAGGGATGTTTGTGAGTTTTACTGTTCAGTGCAAGAGGCAAAGTATAAAATATTGTTAAGGAAAAAAATAAAAATATAAGTAAAATATGGTCTTTGAGTCTGTATTTAGTATCTCTGGAAGAATACACAAGATCCAAATAATAAGGACGGTTTCAAGGAGGGAACAAGGGAATTAGGGGATCAAAATGGGAAAGAAATTGGCTTTTCTCTAAATCTTTGTACCATTTGAACTTTATGCAGCATGACTGTTATTTTTCCAAGTAAATAAATTGATGTTTTAAAACATAAAATTACTAGGGACACTCAAAAAAGAAAAAAGATTGTTGGTAACTCTGCAGGTCATGAATGCCATTCCTCACTCTTCCCCCTCTCTCAACTCACACCCTAGTGCTGAGGCCCATGTCTGAGGAGGTCAGTCTGCTCTGGCCCAGTATAGTGCCTGACATTATTCAAATCCTCCATATTGTAATTATTGTCATTATCATCATCATTGTAACATTGATGAGCACTTATTGTGCCAGGTGCAGCCACACATTTTAGATGCATTCCCCAACCTGCCCCCCCCCTTATTTAATTTTTGGTACCAGGGATTGAACTCAAGAGCACTTAACCACTGAGCCACATTCTCAGCCCTTTTTATTTAATGTTTTTATCTTTTGTGTGGTGCTGGGGATTGAACCCAGAGCCTTGTGCATGCAAAGCAAGCACTCTACCAACTGAGCTATATCCCCAGCCCTTATTTTTTGTTCTGTGACTGGGTCTAGCTAAGTTTCTTATGGCCTTGCTAAGTTGCTCCAGCTGGTTTTGAACTGGGATCCTCTTGCTTCAGCCTCTGGAGTTGCAGGCCCAGTATACACACAAGCGTGTGCTACCATGCCCGGCTGGCTACATGTATTCTCTTTCAATCCTCATAGCAACTCTGTGATGTAGTGACTGCCATTATAAGTAAATTGCCTAAAGTCACACACTTGATGAAAAATAATGAAACTAGGATTAGAACTCAATCAATCCAATTATAGAACCAGCATTCTTAACCAGGGCATCCTTCTGGAAGAGGTAATATATGGCTTATGAGCCAAGGCCACACAGAGATACCATGTCTGGGAAGGGTCCTCCCAGAAGCACTTTCGGGGTCCCTCCATCTAAGCATCTGTTTATATTTCAACAAAAGTTTTGGAATATTTGGAAATACACAGGCTGAATCACTGCACATGACCTCGAGCTTATTGATGCCTGTTGGAGGTGAGAGACCTGGCCGTGTCAGCTAAACAGAGAAAAGATGGAAGACTTATCTGTTTATTTTGATAAATGTAAATGAATTCTATTACTTGTCAAAATGTTATCAAGACCCCAGTGAAATGAGCAACTTTTTTTTTTTCCTTTTCAGGGTGAACAGAGTGAAGGGGGAGAGAAATGAATGTTCAAGACAGATTGCTTTGATTTGAAATGAAAACAAACAACTTTAGGAAAAAAAAAAAGAGACTTTCATTATTTTGGAGACCTTGGCATTCTTGCAGATACATTCATGAATTAATCATTAAAATCCTGAAATGTGGAATAAATCATGTGGTTTTCAATGCCAGCCCACGAATAAAGGGGGCCTCGAACAGTTATTAAGACACAGTGCTTTAAACTGCTACTGCTTAGAATGACTTTTCTCTAGGAATAAAGTGAATGAGGTGAGAGTGTGTGCGTGTGCGTGTGTGTGTGTGTGTGTGTGTGTCTCAAGCAGCCCCGGGGTCCTAGGCCAGAACTGTGTGTAAGCCAGCTCCAACCGTGTGTCACCACAGATTAGTGCTATTTAATATCTGCTAATGGAAAGGCTCTGTCTGCCGTCGACAGCGGGATCAAAAGAGGGCCATGCAGCTTTTAAATTATTAGCACTAATTAGGCAAATCAAAGAGGAGGAGGGCAGAGAGACCAGAGAATGCATTAGCAGGAAAGCAAGGGGATCGCTACCTACCTCGTACTGTCAAGATCGAGCGACCAAACAGCCAATTAGTGCCGAAGACCCTTCCGGAGCGAGGAAAGAATGAGCAGGCCTGCCCTGAGTAGAAACAGGATGGCTTCATTACAGGGACTCTCTAATTAAAATGTAAAGGTTGCTGATCACTGCATAATTAAATAAGGTGGCAGGCGGTAGGCGCCAGCTCTCCAGGAGTTTCCAGGCCCCTTTATTAAAGCCACCTTCCTGGCCTCCCCAGTGGACCCCACCAGTCAGGCCTGGAGCTGTCCCTGGTCCTGACAAACGCACTGACTTCCAAATGGCCCCCAAGAGCAAAAGTGCTCTGGGAGGGCATCTCTCCTAACTACCCCATTACCCCCGCCCCATTGCCGATCCTGAGGACCCTTCTGGTTTTCTTTAGAACCCATTTTAGAACTAATTAGTCAAGAAAAAGAAGAGGAGGAGAGTAGAGTGGAAAAAGGACCAAGCCTAATTAACTCCCAGTCACTGCAATCTAAATATAAAGTTCCTAAAGCTGAGGTTGTCCCCTGTTGATGTAACCTTTCTCTCTTTTTTTTTTTTTTTCTAATCTGCCAAGAGGAGATGCTTAAGAGTTGGACTAGAAACAAACCTCAGGTTTGACACAGAACTTAGGGCTGCTGAGCACGACACCGTGTCTAGAGTTTCGCAGGTAGGAGCAGGTGACAGGTCGCTAAGCCAAATTCAGCAGTCCAGAATGAGGAAGCAAGTATCTTTTAATATCGCTAGCTGGGAGAGTCACACTGAGAGGGTTTTCTTTTCAGAACTGCAGAAATGACTCAGTGACTCAAATGACTTTACCCCTTCAAGTTTATGGATACTCTTGGTGTTCTCTGTATCTTTTCTTCTGTGTCCTCCCTTCTTTATTCTCTCCTATTTTCTTCTGTATCTTCTCTCTTCTCTTTCATTTCCTTCATTCTTTTCTTTCTCTCTATGTCTTCTTCCTTTAATGCCTCCATCACTATCTATCATGTTACCACTGTAACTAGAACAAACGAAGTTTTCACTCACTCTGATTTTTATTATTTTTTTTTTTAGAGAGAGAATTTTAATATTTATTTTTTAGTTCTTGGCGGACACAACATCTTTGTTTTGTATGTGGTGCTGAGGATCGAACCTGGGCCGCATGCATGCCAGGCAAGCGTGCTACCGCTTGAGCCACATCCCCAGCCCCAATCACTCTGATTTTTATGTGTAACCCCTTGCCTTAGCTAATTTTTATTGGAATGGTTTCAAACTAGTATGTGTTATGCCATAGATCATAAACAAAGTTGGGAATGGTATTTTAATAAAGACCTAAGAGTCTCCAGAACCATAGCAGAAAGTAGGTGCATGAGTTAGTATAAGCTAGCCTGCAGTAACAAATAGGCTGAATCATGTAATGGTCCAAAACAATAGCTTTTTTTTCTTGCTCACATAATAGTCCAAGAGAAGTCCAGGTTTGGGAATTTTTCTCTTCCCTAAAAAGTTATTTAAAGACACGGGTTAAAACTGGCTCTGACATCTTCAATGGGTGGCTTCCAAGATAGTCAGAGGAGGAAATAAGTGTGAAAAAAGAGATTTCTAAAGACCAGATCTGGTAGTGCAACATACCATTTCCACTCACACTCCATTGACCAAAAGCAAAAGATATAAAGAACACTTGAAACATATTAAATATAAATATATAAATATATTTAACCACATCTTATGAGAATGAAAAACCCAATATTGGTGACCATTTATCCAAAAAAGAGAGAGAGGTGACAAGGAAAGAGTCATGAGTGGAGAAGTGATGACCAAACCAAGAGCCACATGTGTACCGCAGAAAATCCCATAGTCTTAACACAGAACTTTCCTCCAAGGGTGGGAGGCTGAGTTTGATAACCAGAGGGTCACATCTACCCAATCAGGATGCTCTCCTTTGTGCATCCATCCTTTTGGAAAGTCACCTTGATGCAGGGGTCAAGGACACAGGATTCAGTTTCTGAATCAGATAAAGAGATTGTGACCCAGATGCACCTCTTTCCATATATGTAACCTTGAACAAGGTTAATTTCACCATCTGTAAAAAAGAACAATCATGCTTTCTTTATTATGATGTCTCAAGATTATTACATGGTATGAAAGATGCCAAATTGTTAGCATGATGACTAGCACGTGGTAAGCAGTAGGTGGATGGTAATGATTAACATTGCTTCTATCACCACCACCACTGCTGTACCATTGTCCTTGCAGTTTCTTCTTCCTTAATAGGAGTTCCCTACCTATTTCTGCATCTCATCTGAGCCCTGTGTTCTCCAGGAAGCCTTTTCCTTCTATTTAACTTCTAATGGCCTGCTTATGGTTTGTGGCACCATATTGAACACTGTATTGTTTTGCCCACTATGGATGGATGTTCCATAAAGGTTCAGTATTGTTTATCTTGTTTATTTTCTGTGTCTCGGAACCTAATACAGTGCCTGGTACCCAAGAGTTGCTCAGTTATCATATTTGGTGAATGAATGAATGCTCCATGAGTCTCAGGTGCACCCATGTCAAAGAACCATTCTCTCTTTCCTTTTCCCCCTCTTTCCTCCAGCTCCACAGGTCTTCTTTCTATTCCTTGAACACAACAACTTTATACTCATGGTGTTCCTTATTCTAGAAACACTTTTTCAAATGACATTCTCAAAGCTGGCTCCTTTCCATCATTCAGGACTCAGCCCAAATGTTACCTTTCTGAGAGGTCTCCTCTGGCAACACTATAGAGTCATTTTCTACCAGTCACTCACTGTCTTAGATTGTTGTCTTAATCTGCTTTTGGGTTGCTATAACAAAACACCACAGAAAGAGCACTTTATAAATGAAAGGAAATTTATTTGGCTTGTGTTTCTGAGAAACCCAAGGTCAAGGGTCCTCATTTGGCAAGGACCTTCTTGTTGTGAAACAGCATGGTGGAAATCATCCCATGGCGGTGGGGGGAGAATTTTGAACTTGCATTTATCACAAACCCACTCCCACAGCATTAATCCGTGCATCTGAAGGGCAGCGTCCTCCTGACCTCATCCCCTCTGGGTTGGGGTGGTGCTGTGAGTGGCACTAGTGTGGCACGGGGGTCGGGCCTCGTCCCACTGCATCGTCCCTTCCCTGGATGCAGGCTGACGGTGGGGAAGGGAGGAGACCTGGGCAAGGTTCTTGTTCATCTGCTCTTTTTTCACTAAGTGCAGTTTCTAGAGAGTAACTCAGCTAAGAGGAGAGGTGTCCACCTCCTCCACTCCAGCACCTGGGGAAATGAAGGCCTGTGTCCTGAAGGGAAATGACCTGGTGGCGCACCACAGGGTCTGCTGCCTCCACCCCTTGAACTGCTCCCTTCATTGGATCCGTCCTGTGAACCGTTCCTCTGGGATTCTGGGTTCTCTTTTTCTTCCACCACGAGGGGAAGACTCCAGCCCACCACTGAAGCCACCCTCCAGGCCCCACTGGATACTCACGGCCTCCTCCTCAGCTCCCCGTTCTAGACTCTCCCACCTTTGACCAGCAAGCTGGTCCTTAAGGCTTATGTGGTAAAGCTCATGGCTTGCCTGCGGGGGTCTCAGCCATGGTCACCATGCCCTCCTTCTGCCACGGCGGCTGCATGTATCCACTTATCGACAAATTGGGGGCAAGAAAGGCCCCTATGAATTACCTGAAGGACAAACGTACCCTCCTGCCCCTAGTGTCTGATAGCAGCACCACCTCCTACCAGGAACATGAAATGACAGGGTGGCAGCCTCATATAACCTGATATTTAATGTGACTCTGGCTGTGTCTCCTGGGGGCAGCAACCTGCCCTGGGAACCAGGGTCTCTAAACTCGCAGAGCCCAGAATTGCTGGTGACTGCCTCAACCCTGAAGCGGGAGAACCAGGTAACACTCATAAACGCCACCACCTTCGCTGTCACACAAAACCCTCGTTTTTTTTTTCCTTACACAGCACACTTCTCACTTTCAACCGCCCTCTTGTTAAGTTGTCCTGTGGGTTTTCTGTCTCTGGGTCTAGAATAGAAGCTCCGTGGAAGCAGGGACTCATTTGGCATCTTCACTGCCCTACTCCAGTGCCAGACACAATGCCTGCCTCCTAGTAGATGCTCAGTCGGTCCTGTTGAACCAGTGAGCGAACGTGAGTGATTGAGTTGTGGTGTCCTCAAAGGCGGGCTCTGTTCCCTGCTGTTCTTGGAGCACAGAGCCAGGAGCTCAGTGAATACTCCATTGACCACTCCACCTCCCCTGCCCCCATCCTCTCGTGCCAGCCACTGTGACTCTCTGAAGGTGAGAGGCCTCCCTAACACAATCACAAGCTATTTTTGGTCTGTTTTCCACCCCCCTCTGGCCTATTATGGTAGTGAGAAGAGTCTGGCTACCTGGGGTTTGCAGTAGCTCTAAAGAAAACCAATCTTCCTCTCTCCGGAAAACCCTAGGAGGTGTCCTCTGTATCTAGCTACAGGGCGAAAGCCACCCAGGGCTGTGTTTGCTGAGAGCTGTGTGATTACATTTTGCCCAGGGAAGTGATTACTGGGTACACACAAGAGCCAGGGCCTCTCCTCCCTGCTGCCGACACACAGGCATGGGCCTCTCTCCCTGTCCTTCAACAATC